ATGAAGATGGTGATGATGAGAAGTAAAGGTAAGAAGAAGGAGAAAAAGTGTCGAGATTATTTGTCTTCTTTTCTATCTATTTTTCACTTTTCTCTTCTTTTTTTCTCTTCTCTTCAATTTCCATTTTCTTCCTCATCTTCATACCTTCTGTCTATTTTCATGTCTTTTTCCTCATTTTACCTTTTTTTATGTTCTTCATCTTCTTAGAGAGACTCCATGAAACGCGTGAATTTTTCCTTCTCTTCAAAAGGAACCCAAAAACGCGTCGTTTTTTTCCTTAAGTAAACGGGAAACCATCGATCATGTAACCGTTACCTTTGGCCGTGTGACACAAGAGATGAGAATGATGAGAGATGATAAAGAGATGACTTTAAACGTATGTTTGTTGTTGTTGATCATCATCATTATAATCATCTTTATCATGTTTGTTATGCTAAACTGGAATGACAAAAATACAAGACAAATCAAGTCAACTTAAAATTAATTTTCCATTCAAATTTTCAATTGCAAAGTCCATTGTTCAGATACTTAACCTTTTTCACAATTGATTAACATTTAATGTAAATTGCTCTGATTAATGACCCTTAAGGTGGACCATTGACCCATAGACTTGACAAAATACATGAAAAGGACTTGAATTATGTTTACCTTTTTTACAGTTGACTTTACAATTGACTTTGAAAATGGACTTCGCATTCATCATTCACTAATTGTTAATCACTGAGTTACCTGTTGAATTGGGTGAAACAGTTCAAGGTTAATTGGTTTATTAATTATAATCTTGAAAAGATATTCAAATGATAATTACATTCAATCATTAAACTGGCTCTCAGTTAATGATGATAATTAAAAGGTTTAATAGTTGATATTTAAAGTTGAAGAAGACAAAAAATTGTCATTCAACAATTATTTATCGCAAATAAACCATTTAATTAATGTTTTTGACTAAAAAAATTTACAAATCATTACGTTGTGTCATTTAACCTTAAATCAATTCAAAGTCTAATTTGATTTGTTTCATGTCTTAAAGGTTTGTTATTGATCAAATGATACAATTTGTAAATTGCTAAAGTGCAATTTGTCCTTGCAATGAACACAAGAAACCATTGAAAGTTGAACATTAATGCAAAAACTTTATGTTTAACAAGAAACTGAAATCTTTCAAAAAAAAGTCAATAATTGCAATTGCAATGGTAATGATAATAATGGAAAGTTAAATGATGATTATAACGATGATATTCATGTAATGATAATAATATTTTAATGTATAATTATCGTTATTTAGAGGGAAAAAAGCCAAGTAAATAAAGGTAAAACTTGAAATTATCAAATTGTTGCAAACAATTGTTATCATTGAGTTGGGTAAAATGATAATTTCAAGTTTTGTTTCACCTTCTTCTTCTAGTAACTAATCAGAATGCAAAATGAAATGGCGTTTTAATCATTCACGATTTTTAAATTTATCAAATGATCAAATTGTCTAATAATTAGAGATGAAATAAAGAAAAATTAAAGATGAGAAAAAAAACGCTTCAAACGATTCAATTGAATTGAAGTGAACAAATACAGAGAGATGATGAAGATGATGAGAAAAGTGAAAAAAATTTCAGGTAAAAGTGGATTCACTGTAAACATTTGATATGTTACTCGAGGTGAAAGTCATTTTAGGTTGAAAATTTTTTGTCTTTGGCCTAACAGAAGTTGATGTTGGGAAATTTAAGGATTGTGATGACAATGAATTAGGAAGATTAAGATTAATATGAAGATTAAGATGAAGATGAAGATTTTGCGTGAAAATTGGCTTCATTACCTACATTGCTTTGAAGGACTGGACTTGCTTTGGAGCAAAAATATTGTTTTTGGTCTAACAGGACGCTCTTGATGATAAGCTGAAATGTTAATTATCATGACAGAGATGAAATAAGAATAGTTTCATGGTCTCAATGATTTCATTGTTGAATTGGATTGAAAACTGATTGGGAAAATTTGATGAAATATGAGTGAAAAATTAATGTAAAATAGGTCGACTAAATGTCTAGATTTTATGCAAAGCAAGTGACTCTCTTAGGTTGAAGTGTTGGTCTATGTTGGCCTAGACTCTGTTGAGAGTAAAAATATTTACAGGAAAAAAATATTGTCTTTGATCTAACAGCATGCTCTCGATCACAAGATCCTCTCATCGGATTATTTCATCTCATTCATGATGTTAATTATCATGACAGAGATGAAGAGCATGATGAAATTAGATAGTTTCATGGTTTCAATGATTCCATTGTTGAATTGGATTGAAAGCTTATTGAAAATTTGATCAAAATATGGGTAAAATGAATGTAAAATGGGTCGACTGAATGTCTAGTTTTGATGCAAGGCAAGTGACTCTCTTGGGTTGAAGTGTTGGTCTAGGTCTAGACTCTGTTGAGGGTAAAATAATTTATAAGAAAAAAATATTTCGATTTCAGAGAAAAGTTTGAGAATTAAAATATGATAATGAAAAGATGATGTTGTTGATGATGAGAGTGAGAGTGAGAGTCTTGGGCGCACCTTGTTCAGGTAAGAGATAAGAATAAGTGAAATTTTGTTTGCTGGCCACAAAATAAATACAATTATTATGTATTATTCGAGTCAATTTTTTCTTCTTCTTTTTTCTCCTTTTTCATCATCATAATCATCCATTACTATTAACATCTTCTCCCTCATCATCATCATCCTTGTACAATGACCAAACTGCATACAGAATCACACTTATTTCTCATGCTTTTCATTTTAATTCGTCCAATTTAAAGGCAAACAACATTTTCTTTCAACTATTTTCACTTTGTTTTTCTTTCTTTGCTTTTGTTTTAAGACTAAAGATGAGGCTAAGGTTAGGAAGATGATGATGATGATCAAGCTGAACTTTGGTGGGATAAGCCTGGAGCATTCAGCATCTCTCTCTCTCTCTCTCTCATAATTACCCTCAAGCCCCCTCAACAAATGGCAGTAAAAAAAAGTACAACTGTTAGCAAAAAAAGATGAAAATAAGTTGAGGCAAATGTTGAGAGAGTTAATTTGTGTATAGTTACTCTATAATTTTGTCATTGGAAAAGATTTTTTTTCTCTCTTCCAAATTTTCTTGACTCACTCATCTTCCAGTGTGAGTGTGTCTTTAATCATAAGGTATCATCAGGAGAGAGAGAGAGAGAGTAAAGATGAAGAAAAAGTTTCAAATAAAATATCATCACACAGCAACATAATTCAAATGATAATGAAGATGAGAAGAACGATCAGAATGGAGAAGAGAAGAGAAAAAAAATCTCAAATTATCATTCACTTTCAGGTATTTTGACTTATCCAACCACCAGCATCATTCATACCTTCATCCTCATCTTGCAATTTTCAAGTCATTTTCAAAATCTTTTGTGTTTTCGCTGAATTTTAAGCAAAAAATGAAAATCGTTGTTTACCTTTTTCATCGTTATTTTGTATTGCAACCATTGATACAGTTTTTTTGCATTACCAATGACATTTGGCAAACAATTTTCATCTTAAATTGCTATCAATTTTGAGGCTGAAAAAAAAGGTGCGACTCATTATTTACTCTTTGGATGATTGTTTGATTCAGTGTCGTTATTATTGGCTTTTAATGGTTTTTCATGCTAATTGTTAATGCAATAAGCGTAAACGGATTTTGAACAAAAATGATCATGAACAAGATAAAACGATCATCAGAATCATCAAATGATAATAAAAAATGGATGATGAAAAATAAAGTCAGAATTGCTTTGAGGCTTTGGAAACATGTTTAACCTTTGAATTTGTCATTTTCAATTCACTTGCATTTCAAGTTAACTTATTTTGCTCAAACAAATCAATTAATTAGCTAATTATATTGAAACAATAATCAATCAAAAGGAACAATTTAAAGGAATGAAAAAAAGATACAAAAACGAACAAACCTAAGCATTAACCTTCGTTGGTTTCAAAGACAAGTTTACATTGTATTTGTCATAACCTTAGATTGTTGTTAAATGATTACAATTAGAAGAAAAAATTAGTAAAATTTCAAGATTTTCATGGAAAAGGTTTCATCAGAAATCAGAGTGAAAATGAAAAGTGAAACAAGATCAAGAAATAGATTAACAGTTCACCATTTATCCCAATTTGATTGGTAATTCATCATCACAATTGTTTAAATTATTGTTCTTACTCTCTCTTAATCATTATCGTTAACCTGTTAACCATTTTCATATTAAAAATTATCACAGACCTTTGAAATTATATCATTTTACATGAAAATCATCAACCTTAAGGGTATAATTTGAATCTGGACTCATTTTTTTCATCTCAACTTAAAACGTTTTTTGCAAAAAAACAAAATTTGTCCACAATCATCATCATCATCAGTTTACCTCTTGTATTGCTTATTCAATTTAACCTTAGGGCTTGAAATTGAATGTACAATTGGACAAATAAAATTCAAATTATTATTAGTATTATTATGATATTAACCACATTTGTAAAAGATTCACACAAGTTAAATATTAATAACATTGGGGAAGAAAAAATGAAATCAAAAACGATTAGATGTTCACTTTTTGTCTTGCTTGATATTTTAAGTTATTTAGCTTTTTTTTCTTGCGCTCTTTCATGTTTTATAGTTGTAATTGCATTCAATTCATTTGGGTTGCTATTTAAACTGATTTAAATGCAACATTTAACTTGAAATTTTTAACTTAACTAACTAAACAATTTATCTTGTAAAAAGTCAACAGCTTTGTTGTAAGTCAATGCAAGTTTGCCTCCTTATTTTTGCCTCTCCAACTCGCAGTAAATGCATAATTAAAATTTAAAGTCATTTTTTTGCTCATCATTATCATCACTGGTTAGTATTAGCAATATTAGTATTTACTGGAGCTATTTATCACTGGTTATTAATATAATTAGGAGGGCTTCAAAGGATAACATGATTCATGAATTGGAAAGGGACAGGTTTGACAAAAATGTTGATTTCCTTGGTTTGCTTTGATTTTTGTTTGCTTTCGTTTAATCAATTTCATTTGCCATCATATCCATTTGGTTAATATTGTTACAACAGGTACTGAATTGGAATTTAAATTGAGTTAAATTGAGGTAAATGTTAACACTGTTTAAATTTTGAGTAGAGTTCAAAATTATGATTGGCGCTGATTTGACAGGTTGGTGGAGAAAGGAAATAATATTGTTAAAATGTTATCTTTTTCTTGTTCAATGTAAGTTGTTCATGTTGCTGGTGATGATGAAGATGATAATGATGATCATAGTGATGACGGTGATGCAAGATGCTGCCAGGTTTTTTACTTTACTGTTTGCATAACATGATTTGCTGATGAGATGAGTGTTAATCGTTTGGTTGGCAGCAAACAAACATCATATAGTTTAAATGTTGACGGAGATTAATCTTATAACAATATTGGATATACAAAACACAAGTGCCAGTAAAGCTCGGATCAGAGTCCTACTGACTTAATAAGTAAATTAATCACTATAACTTGAAAGAAATACCAAAGGAAGAGGAATCTCGAAGGTTTGTATTAAATTGTTCCCTTTCGATTTCAACCAAATAAAAGAAACATGGAAATTTGAAATTTGATTCCTTCCTTCCTTTTGATTGATGTGAGCGAGCCATCCTTTTGAGCGACTACTTCATCAGCGGTACAGAAATACAGAGACCTTGTTTGAGTCAGGAGAACCGAAATTGAATTTTTGGAATTGAAAGCCAAATTTCGAATCAATTTTGTTACTTTTGCAGGTTAGGAGTCAACACTTTGATTTAATTGCCTTTTCTGTAATCGTTTATCCAGCACTTGTAATTTTCGATAATCCATAAAATTAGATTGATTGGATCAATTTTATCCATTGCCAAGATTGAACTTCAATAATAGTCATTCAAGGGTTAAACAGATTCGGACGCTTCATGGTATTTGTTGATGTTTGTCAGGTTGGATTGATGAAGGAATATTGAACCATTAAAACGAAATTTGTTGATATCGAGTTTCTTGTTGATTCCTTAAAGAGTAGTTGAAAAAAGAGATTCACCAACAAAGAGATCCATTGTTTTTTGGAAGTAACTGGTTCCACTTCTTCATGCTGCTTCATCTGACTAGGAAAACCCTTTTCTCCTTTGCATTTAGATTTTTGTGGCTTTAGTTGCGGATGAGGTTCTTTGTGTTTGCTGTTGGCGAGTCACCATGGATCTTGACATTCATTCAAGACTCCTTCATTGAGAAAACCAAAGACAAAAAGGAGAGGAAATTGCTGAAATTTTTTGTAACATTTATCCAAATTATAAATATATTTTAGTGAGTGTTTTTTTGTTTTGAATGCATTTTTATTGGCATTTGTCTCTCTTTTTGTCAGTCGGGTCTTTTTCCTTCGCTTTATACAATCTTTTTCAACAAATTTTGACAAAAGTTTGCTGAGTTGGCAACTTTTTTTGTTTTCAAATGAAACGTTGCTTGATGGATAAGTGACTACATTTTTGGAAAATTTATGTACACGATAAATACAAGATTAAGTTTTTTTCATCATCATCACCATCTCCTTTTTGCTCTCCTTGCTGCTTGGTCTTTTACATCAGAATGGGAATCAGAAAACAATCAGACAACAGAAATAGAATATCATCTGAATCTGTAAAATGGATGAAATAAGAAAAAGGAGAAAAAAGAAAAGAAAAGATCAGATAAATGATGAAAAGAAGAGGAATTGTTAAACAAAAATAAGTTAAAGATGATGAAAAGGAAGCTCAGAATGAAAAGAAAAGATGGCAAAAAAAGAGTTTATCCTCTTCATTCTTATTCTTCATCTTTGTCAAGAGAAACAAGAGAAATGAGGGGAAAATGAGACAGAAATAGACAAAGATGCAAGAGAAATGATAAATTTTGATAAAATATCATGAAACATTTGGATACATTACAGTAAGGTAAGCCTGAAAATGTAAAGATGCTTTGAGGATCAACAGTTAAAGTATTTGAATGCCAATTAGCAGCACAACATTGACCAGGTTACTACCAACAATTATGATTGACTAATTAACAAATACCCAGCTCAGCATAACTGTTAAACACAAATAATCTGTCCAGCTTGGTAAGAGAAGCACATGGTTGGCCACACGTAAATACATCTCCATTTTGCTAGATTCACCATCATTTCCATTAGAACATCCTAATTGAATTATGTAAAGTAATGAGATTTGTTTGCACCACTTGCTTCATCTTTTGCCCAAACCATTCCTTGAAGACTGAAAAACAATTAAAATAATAAATTAATTAACAAGTTGAAACAAAACCTGATGAAAGAGGCGGTCTCAAGCTAAAGATATTAATCATCTTTTCAATTCAAAATAATGTTAGACACTGATACTTGGTATCTTTAAGGCTACTTACATTAGTTAATAATCAGCAATATGAAATAATTGAAACCACTGATTGTCACAATTGAACAGAAGAAAAAGATTAGTAATTTGACGATTAACTTGCAATGTTTGTCTGACTCTAACAAGAGAAAATGTTGGTCATTGATTTGAATAAGATCTGATACTATAAGGCAATACTTGTTGATCTTGAGTGTCTTTAATATTTCAAAGAATTTTACAAAATTTGTTGATTTAATTCCGTTAATTTACCAACTGCAGCCCTCAATAAATTCACCTAAATTGCCATTTATTATACTTCATTTGTCAATATTTAATTAAACAATTGCATCAAGTGTTTACCCTTTAGATACTATCCGATATCCTGTCTCTTTTCTTTCTGTTGATATCTAAATATCGATAGATAATACTCATCAACCAGATTAATTTTTCTCTTTCTTTTTTCTTTCCTCCCTTACTCATTGTCTTTCTTTTAATCAATCTTAATTAACTCTGTCTTTGTCTCTGTCTGTAATTTGGGTTAAGTTAGATCACAGATGGCGTTGTTAATAAGGAAATGTATTTTTGAATGAATGTTTGCACCAAAAGATAAAACAAAAACTAAACGGACAAACAGCACTTTTTGAAATTGAAATTTTCTCACTGTTCCTCATCTCAACATTTAATTGCCTTTTGCCCATTTATTCAACTCTATTAATCCATCAATTTTGGGTTTACCAATTTGTGTAACAACACCGCTAATTGAAAGTGATTCACAATTTTACAAAATTCAAAGTGAAAAGTGAAAAAAGTGGGAAAATAAGTTGTACGAAATTAAAAGTGTAAACAGCAAGTGACTACAAAACCTGAAACTTGATACACCAATAAAGCAACTTTACACAATGTAATTAAACAACAAATTAACAACCAGCAAATATCTACAATATAAATTTAATTAAACATGTGAGGAAGCCTTCAATGTTTGGTAAGTAATCATGTTGAACATGATAATTTTTTGCCCATTTCAATTGATAATCATCAACCTTTAAGATACCCATTCCAAATATTCAACCCATTACTCTTTATCCACCTTATTTCTTGACATCTCGCCTGATCTTTCCATAAACTGTCACAAATTAAAAATAAATCTTTTCCAATCATTTCTAACCTACAATTTAGTCTAGATTTGGTCCAATTTTTATCTAAATTTCGTTCATTTTTCTTTTCTTTTCTTCCTTCTTTTTTCCACTTTCCTTCTCGATACATTCATCCATAAATATATATATTGTCCTCATAAATCAAAATGTATGCCAAAGGTAAACGGGATTGATAGGAAATAACATGAAGCCAAGAAATAAAATAATAGAGAGTTAAAAAATAGTCGCTATTATGAAAAAAGCCTCTAAACTCCCCTTTACTCCATCTAATGGGCTGTAGCATATGGGGTAAGAAAATTGTGAAGACGGCGAAAAAGCGTCAAGAGAAAAGGGATTGGGATGAAGATGGCTAGGAATAAGAATAAGAAGCCAGAAGAAGAGGCGAAAAAATTTTCTCCACAGCATAAAAAGTAGAGAAATATCTTTATATTAAAATATATATTTTTATATATTTTATATTTTTCTCCTTTTTCTACTCTTAACTTTACCAAACTTGCTATTCTTGTTAACTGGTAAAAATTTTTCGCTTTATGCCCATCCTTTATCCGTTTTAGCCTTCAATTTATCCACCTTAAATCGACCCTTATTACAATACATGTTTACCTTTGGGAAATACTTTACTTTTTTACCGATCATTCTGTATACACACATAGATATATATATATGTAGATATATAAGGACTTACTTTTTTTACTCTTTTCGCTTTCATCATTTTCCCCTTCCTTATTCCTTCCTAAGCCTTCCCAGGTATAAATTGACGCTATTCTCATCATCTTTTCATCTTCTTTTTTCGAGGTTATTTGAGTTTTTCTTTCCATTTTTCTTTCTTTTTCTCTTTCTTTATTGGCACCCATTTTACCCTCTTCACCTTCTGCAAGCAAAAAAAAGGTATAAACATCTCTAACCATGTTATATAAGACCATTTTCGCTTTCAATTTAATACATGTTCTTACTTTTGCTTTTACTTTTGTAGTGTTACCAATGCTTTCCTCTCTTCACTCACTTTTCACTCTCTCGTGCTGAAAATTGTGTCACAAGGGCTTAAAGACCAAACCCATTCTGAGAACCTACTCTTCCTTTACCTTCTTAAAAAGTGTAAGAAATATTGAGGAAATCCTTTGCCTGAAAATGGGTAAAAAAGAAAAGGTTGGTGACTAGGTTAAAGAAAGAGAGAGAGAGAAGATGATGTCGATGATGAGGACGATGATGATGACTATGATTATGATGAGGAAAATGAAAAGAAAGAAGCAAAGAAAAGGCCGTTTTTATTTACATCGATTTTGTCGTTTTCCTCTAGTTTAGCGAGCATTCAGTCTCGTCAAAAATAGCTTTGAATATTTTTCTTGTCTGTGAGGAGATCGGAGATGAAGAGACATAAGGAGAGAAAGAGTGAGAGAGAATTAGAGAAAAGAAAGAGTGAGAAAATTGAATAGCCAGAGAACAAAATAACTAGGTTAAGGTTGTTTAACTCCTTCTCCTTTTCTTACAGCATTGGAAGTGAAAAAAAGGCGCGAGTTCGACAAACTGTCGATGATTGATAAAACTCACCGGATCTTTACTCTTTTCCCTTTCAATCTTTACACTTTTCTTCATCTCTTCAACTCCTTTTCACTGCATCTCTCATTGTTGTACAAGTTGCATTGTATCTTTGCTTATCACTTTTTATATTTCACTGGACATTTGGTTGAAATCATCATAATGGTACATATGATTATATAAGGTTGATATTGGTGTAAAAATACAGATTATAGGAGTTGCTTTTTCACCTTTTCCCAATTTCATCTGGAAACGTTTCTGTTTACCCTTTGGGTCAGTTTGTTTACTGAGAACAGTTGATGGATGCCAAATTAATCATCAACTTATTCAATGTTATTTTTTCAAAGAATAGTTCACCATTTTTCTTCCATCTTTCAAGATGAAAGAGTTTGAAATGAACAAAAAAAATCTTAGCAAAACTACTTTGAAACCCATTATCAACCATCAAAGTTTGTTACTCTTCATCAGAATAATCTGATTGATTTTTTTCTCTCTCTCTGTTTTTTGTTTTTCTTTTCTTTTCATGATTCCTTCATAGTTATTGCATAGTTTTTCATTGCAGAAAATCATGAGAAAGAGTAAAATGCTGAAAAGAAGGAGAAAGAGGGAGAGAAAGAGAAGGAAAAGAAACATGAAAAGAGAGAAGAAATAAGATAAAGATGAAAAATTTTTCATTTTATTCAGTCTCTTTTTTTCTATTCTCCGCCTTACCGGAAACTTTTTCAACCAATAAAATTACAACTCACTGTTACTTTGTTTTTCCTCTTTCTTTCCTCTCTTTCCTCGTCACCTCATCCCGCCTCTCTCATCGCCATCATCATCATCATCTTTTTTTCTTCTTCTCTGTTAACATTCCCTTTTTCAACTGTACTTTAGTGTTACCCAGTCAAGGTATGGATGAGGATAAACCATTTGATCTTAGTGTTAAACCAATTAATAATAATAATAATAACATCACCAATAACATCACCAACAACAACAACAATAATAATAACCATCATCATCATCATAATCATTCAACGAAATTGTCATCGTCCAATTCATCCGGAAATGCAAGTAAACTCACCAATTTCGGACCAGCACCATGGATTGATAGATCTCTAATAACTCCACCATCAGCTATACTTCAAGGTAAGACAATCCTTTCAGAGTTGCTTTGATTACTAGTCAGGAAAATGTTTCAGGAATATTCACCAATTTTCCTCTTCAAAATTTTCTAAATTCTGTTGATGTTGAATTTCCAAATTACTTATCGATAGCCTTGCATTATGTGTCGATAACTTATTCAAACTTATCGACCAACTTTTCATCTAAACTTGGCATTTCCCTTTTCGTATCATTTAGTGATCACAGGCACGAATGGAAATGCAGAATTTTCAAGAATATTTATATTTCAACTCTTGGTTATGCTTCGATTAGATTTGTCGATTTAGTGCAAATGTCCAGTTCGTTGTTTTTAAGTTTCTTTAAGCATGTTGACCACTTAGATTAGGGAATATTGGGAAATATTTTTAGAATAATTTCAATGCTTTTTTCTTGGAAATGTGCTCAAGTGTAATAGATTACAATTCAAGTCTAGAATTTTTCTTAATCAAAAATATTCTCTGATTTTCTCTGGTGATCATATTTTTCATCGCAACTCTTCATATTTCATCTTGCAACAGGTACATTGGGAGCTGAACTTGATATTATATCAGGAAATAAAGTCGATTATACAAATTATGTTAAACGGTAAGTTGAACTTTTTAATGTCCAATTAATCAAACAAAACCTCCCTTTAAATATGAACCTGTGCTTACTGTTTTGTGCCCAACGGAATAATAACGTTCACAATTCAACGACAACAACAACAACAACGATGACAACGACCACTTCAACCCTTTCATTGCAATATTTCTGTAAACTTCTGGTTCCTCACGTGTTTCAAGTCAGTGTCTAGTGTGTAGTGAATTTATAGTTCATAATGGATTGCAATCGAACTATCGATTCATAAAAGAAATATTTGTGCGTTGATCGATCACCATCAAGATCGTCGTCCATCAGTATTTCATTTACACCATTTTGTGCTTGAAGGATTGACGCGATCTTAAGGATTCTTTTGCTTTTCATATTTAATCCAAATGTGAAACTTTTCATCTAATTTCAACGTTCATTTTTCATGACCTTTCATAATTAAAGTGTATTATTTGTGGTGATTTTTCTGATTTTCAGATTATTTCTGGTGATAATCTTTTCTCTCTCCATTATCCATTGCAAATACCAGTTTAGCGAAGTTTGTTTTTTCTACTTTGTGGTCAAAACAAAAAGAGAAAACAATTTGCAAATTCAGTGTATTCATGAACAGAATTCACCTGGAGTAGTTAATCACCATAACTAATCATTCTAATTGCAAATAAAAGATGCAGGAAAAAGTTGAAAGGAAAAAAAACAAAGCTAATTCTTAAAGATTTATCAATTGTTACAAGCCAATTGATGTGGTGTTATGATAATAATAGTGATTCTGAATGAGAAATGTCTAAATGTGTTTTTTTGCAGCCAAATTTTTTGCTTATTTACTCTATCAGAGGGAGGTGAGTTGTGTTATTGTTGCTCCTTGTTTTTTTTATTATACATGTTGTTGATGAAGAATCGGAAGATAAATTTAAGGCAGAGAAAGATGAAGAAGAAGAAGAAAAACGAGGCAAAAAAGTTGCAACAAGAAGATGAGCAAAGATGAAGATAAAGAATGAAAAAAAGTAAGAAGAAGGTAAAAAAACAAGAGAAAGATTGAAATACAAAAAAAAGGAGTCTGATTGAGAAGCCCGGGAGTCCCTTTGATGGATGACCTTTGATGGTTATGATGGGTCAAGAATATTGTGGTTACTTGTTTCTCCATCTCTTATATAATAAGTGTTAAAAAAATTGACAGAAATGAGGGTGATGTGAATGTGTGTTTGTGCGGTAATAAGAGGCGAGGTAAAAGATTGAACAAGAAAAAGCTGAACAACTTTAAAAAGTTTCACCATTTTCATCTTCATCATCGTCATTTCATCTTTATCATCCTTCTGATGATGTGTTTTTCTGATCAATCAAGGTAAAAAAAAGAGAGAAGTTCCAATGCACATTGTTGTGTGTATTACAAGTTACCAGATTCTGAATGCGATAAGTTTTGCATCAACAGAGTAACAATCAAACACAGCAAGTGTTATTGTAAGGTATAAAAAGAGGCTGAATCAGTCTGTTAGGGTGAAAAAAAGGTAAAAAAAAAGACTGCATCAAGGCAAGCAATAAATTAGTAAGACAATGACATTAGATGATGATGAGAATGGAAGATAAGTGAGTATAAAGAGAGTTATTCTGATAAAAAAAAGAGTTCATTAGCAACAACAATTACATTTTGTATTAATATTTTTGTCCCGGTAAAAATTTGTTCATCTTTTTCACCTTTTCTCATCCATCTTATTGAAATGTATTTATTTCATTGTTATGTTAAACATGATGTCTTATAGTTGCGATAATAGATGAACTTCTGGTGCTATTAACATATTTAGGTTTACCATTTCAATCACTTTGCTTTTGTTGAATAGTCTCAGCTTGTCTGGCATTGGATATTTGCTCAATAGGCATATTTGTCTTTACCTTTTTTTCAATGAGCAAACATCATGTTATCTTATCACTTGACGATAACCGTGAGTCTAAAGAATCAAAAGGCAAATATTAACTCTCATAACTGTAGTTTTTAGATGATATTTTAAGACCAATTTTCGGTCAATCTTTTGGTCAACTTGTAGACATGATTCATTGATCTGATTACTCTTTTTTTTCAGGTAACATTCTCATTGAGAATGCATTAAATTTTCATCAAATCTCATTGTGTCTCATTGAAATCTCATTAAATCTTGTTGACTCTCTTTCAATCCAACATTCAATTGCCAAATTATTACCAGATTATTCAGATCTGTAAATCATTCAACTGTTGTTACATTTGATATTCAATTATAGTTATTTGTAACTTTATTGAATATAATAAAATTTTTGCTTCTTTATTCAAGGATTACCCTTTATTTACCTTTAAATGTAATTTTTTTTCTTCTCTCTTCTTCAATCGCTTTATCAAAGTATCTTTTGTTATTTATATAAGATAAACTGTATTCAGTTCGTTAACTCGTAACACCTCTTGTAATCTTTTTCAACCTTTTACTGTTTGATTGAAGATTGTGATTATCCTTGGAAACGACTGAACAAGATGAGAGTCAAAGAGTTAACCAACATCTAAACATTTTCTGGTTACCTTTTTTTGTATCAACAAAAATGTCTAACATCTTTTTCCTTAAAAAAAGTTATGAAAAAGGTAAAAATAATTATACTGATCAGCATCACCATCAACATAATCATCAATACAATTTAAATTACAATTCAATGTTTATCCAAACTTGACTATTCTTCACCTTCTTTCCTCTTTTTTTACCTAACAATTGACGTTGACAAGTCAAGAAAAGCTAAATAATACTTTTCACAATTTACCTTATGTTATAATATTAAATGCGTTTTTTACACAAAAAAAGCAAACACTTTTTTCCCCGAATCTTTTTTTTTAAAAAACTGCTCTCTTTTTGCAATACTAATGATAATAATAGCACATATGAATGTAGACGATATCTTCCCACATGCAAAATGGTTGTAAAAACTAATATTATTTTTGGCAGAAGGTGAACCGAAAGTGATGAGAGACAGTTGAAAGACAACAAGATAAAGACAACAATTATAGCCAATTGATATACAATTTATTGAAATGAACCTTTAAACACTGATCAAACCATGCAATTGTATTGATAATCAGAGAAGCGCAATTCCTTTCACAACCTTAGAATCTTTTTCTTAACCTTAACGTAACGTTTACCGTTACTCTCCTCATCTTCCTCATCATCTTCCTCATCTTTTACATCATCTTATTCCCTTTACTCCCTCCCTCTATTTACTTACAAATTGATGTAACCTTTCATTTCTTTCCCGTAACAATAATAATGATTATAATATAAAATTTATCTCTATTTAAATATATTGGGAATCAATTTTGGTCCGTTTTTGTCCAAAAAACCACAATTTTGTTATGATATATTGCATTTAATTTTAAACTTTTGTGTGTCATTTATAAGGAAAAATGTTCACAAAATGAGTTGATTTCAATAGATTTTGCCATTTAAACTTTTACCTTACCTTTACCTTCCTCCCTCTCTCACAGCGTGTGTTTTACAAGCGATGAAAAAATTTATACCATTGATAGCATTCCATAATAGTTGGCCAAGAAAATGATTTACGGTGTGCGGCTATAACCAAATTATGATAACGACAAATAACCCCTGACCTTAAGACCTGTTTACAATAAATACATTTAAGTGTGTATGGCCAATGTTATACAATAATATTTTTAAATCAACAGTTTCTTTCACTTCATCTTCATGTCCTCTTTGAACAAATCATCCTGAAAAATGGCCACCAAGCTATTTTATTTTTTTTGTACCTTCTTTGCTCATCATTTATCTTTTTTTTCTTACCTTTTTTTACCTGTTTGTTTATTGTTTTTTATGCATTCTCTTGACACTGGTTTTTTGCTCTGTTTTTGCAACAATTTGCTAAGCTATTTACCAGCAAGTGACACAAACAAATAGAAGTGAAAAATCATTGAAAGGCGCAAAAAAAACTAATACATTTCCTGCTACTGTCAACAGGTTTACTTGATTTTCACTTGATTCATCTTTCATTGTTGTTGTTGTCTTGCTTTGTTGCGCTATTACCTGACTAGGAGTCAAAAGCTATTTGTATATCTGGGCTAACATGGTCCTATGACCAAAAATATAAACTAGTTTTGCGCTCTCAATGGTGCAATATTTGCCTCGTTATCCAATTTATTAATAACACTTTTCCCGTCACCTTTTGCTTACAATTTTATCATCCTTTTCATCATCTTCAATCTTACCTATTTTGACTTTCCTTTTGCACTCTTTTTCTCTATTGACCAGATATGCCAATGCCTTGGACTGTGGATCTGAATTATGTAGGGATCGTCAGTATCGTGAACATTTTCACTGTTTAGATTGTTATTCAAAGGTTTTCGTTAAAAAAGAAGAAATGATCCGTCATTTTAAATGGCACAAGAAAAGGGATGAATCTCTGAGAAACGGTTTCCTCCGTTTCTCATCATTAGACGATTGTTCAGAAAAATTTCCCAACTGTCCACATCGGATGAAACAAACCCATTACCATTGCCTGAAGCCGGGTTGTCGTAAGGTAAGTCTGTCTCAAAGAGTCACATCTTTATGAATACTTGAAATGCACTTTGCGCCATCATTAACTTTACACTTTAACACACTGAGCAAATCACAATTAAATAACTTTACTTTTCTCGCATAATTTAACTTTTTTTAAACCAGTAAATTTAATTGTGCAAACCTTGTAGCTTTAAATAACAATTGATCTTTTTTTTGTGTAATATTTGCCTGTCAACAGTAACAGTACAAAAGCAGAAGTTAGAGAAGAAAAGGAAAAAAAATTTTTAGGTCAAGTATCTTTCAAGTGCTCTTTTACTTAGGACTTTAAACTGACCCTTGCCACTGCAAGTTAAAGGTCACGAGTCCATTGAGATTGACTTATGATGTGCAAAGTCAATGACAATTGTATTATAGCAAACATTGTATTGTTACACGTTTTTTTGTTGACCATTTTTGCAATACAATTATCGATATTAGCAAACACTAAATGGTTCACTGATTAAGCTTGTTAAAGTAGCTAATCAACTAATTGTTTCATTTCTTCATAGATTTACATTAGTACCTCTGATGTGTCTATGCATGCCTCATGTCATCGAAAGGACGCTGCAATCATTGAACAAGGTTTTCAACGTTTCAGGGCAGCTGAAAATTGTCTCTTACCTTCATGTACTTTCTATGGAAGGAAAACAACCCATTTCCATTGTATAAGAGATTCGTGTGGTTATACGTTTAAAAATAAAGCCGATATCGGTAAGTGTCCAACGACCATTCTATTCATGATAATAAAGATTCTGTAAATTGTTGCCTTTGACTTGTAATCAGAATCAAAAATGAAAGTTTCAAATGTCAAATTGTTTACCAAAAATGAAATGTTAAGTTAATTTTTCTTGAAATGACGAAATTCCAAGTACTTTTTCGCTTAACAGTCATGAGTTTTGGAACTTTTATTGTTGATTTTGGCAGCGACTTTTGTTGAAAGTTGATTAAATTGCTCTTGATTTTGAAAGCATTTGATTGTTTGCAAATTGTGTGCAAAATCAATTCTTATTTTTAGTCTCTTTGATGCATTAATTTGACTTTTATTTTTTCACAGAAAAACACAAAACTTATCATAGTAAAGATGAACAATTATGTCGTGATGGTTACAAGAAGTTCATGAAACATGAAGCCTGTACCTTTGACGATTGTCGATTATCCAGGAATTCCAATCACATTCATTGTATCAGAATAGGTAAGACATTGTTACATTAACATACGCATCTGTTGCATTGTGAATCATTTCAAAATATCATTTGTTTCAAGAAAACAATTTTCAAGCAAAAGTTAAATTTGATTAACCGGTTAATCAACATTGTGATTTAACTAATTATCTAATAATAATAATGGTAATAATTGAACACCAAAAAAAGTCATTTCATGATGTAAACGAGTTTCTTTTTGTTCTGAATGTGTTCATTTTGTGCTGCGATGGATCTCATTTAATATATCATTAATTTTTGCAACAAAACATTGAAATCATCATAATTTTATCATTGTCTTTGATCTTGTTAAACACTGAAAAAAATATATAGTTATGATGATGTAAACGATTATCATGCTTCTGATGATGATGATTACGAGATGATGATGATGATAATGATAATGATTATATTCGCGTTTTTAGGAGTAAAGTTAACTCTCACAGAGAGAGACCAAGTAAAGATACATTTTTTTGTTTTTATTTTTAGTTAACAACAGAAAAAAAATTTAGCATAAAAAGTAACCAAAAAAAGCATGATGATGATGACAATTAAGGAATCTTTGCTTTTCCTAAGTCTAATGACCATGTAATTCAAAGTTGAAATGAATTATAAAAGATGAGTCTAGCATCAATTTTCATCTCTACTCTCACAAACTCATTGCTTTTCAAGTTACCTTTGGAAGTCTTCCATGATTTGTTGAATTACAGTGACAATGATGATGACAGAAGATGGCGAAAAACAAAAAAATGAGATTCTCAGGGTAACTTAATGTTTCGTTTTTGCGTTTAAATTAAAATTCAAAATTGATCTTTTCACCATGTAATAAGAATTTCATTTTTCTTGCTTTCTCCTCTACTTATGATTTGGTAAGCAAGAAAAAAGCAGATTCAATCAAAATTACCATTTTGAGCGTTTTGTTGGCCTGAAAAGTCGACTATTAGTTTATATCAAAATGTTATCATTTGTGTCACTTTATCGCCATTCTCACCCGAAAATGTTACCTCAATGACAATTCTCATTTCCTCATCTTCCTCTCTCTTCTCATCATTATCATCTTTTATCCTCTTTTATTTTCTGGCATCATTTATCACTCACTTTTCAACCCATAATAGCTGAACCATTAACAGTGACGATTCCTTCATTTCTCATCTTTTTTCTTTCTCCTCATCCTTTCCTCTTCATCTTTAATCTTCCCAAATCTTGTAAAACCAATTTCTTGGATAAACTTTTCTCCTTTTTTCTTCGCTTTCCATTAATGCTAATAACAGAAACAAGTTATCATTTCCAATTGGCTGATAACTCTCATCACGAAATTTATTGATATTAACCTTCAGCATGACCTAGCATTTATCATAATGAACAATTTCTGCTCTCATTTTTTTTCTCTCTTCTCTTCCCCAGAATACATTATATCATATTATCATTATTACCTATTAGTATACAAATAGAAATATTATTATCATTTGAAATGTCTTTCTCCTTCCCTCTGTAACTCACCTTTGATTATCATTATTTTTGCAATTTTTGTTTTGTTTTACTCTCAACCGTTTTTATAATTTCAACAATTTTTAGCTTTCAAAGTTTTACCTGAAATTATTTCGAATCAACCTTGAGTTGATTTGCCCTTGTTTCACTTTCCTTTTTTTTATCATCATTACCTCCCAGTTTATATCATTAATAGTTAAACATCCATTTGTCCTGTAATTGTGATTAGTAAGTTTTTTTTCTTCTCGTAACTTGAAGCAACAATGAAATGAACATTTTCAAACAGATTAGATCAAATTAGTGCTTTTTGGCGCTGAGGAAACATTTGATAGTCAGCACTTTTGACAATTTTTACTCTTATCATCATCATCGCCATCTTCATCATCTTTCTGTCATGTTTTTCAATCTTTCATCTTGACTCTTCCATTGTAATGTAAATCAAAATTTTAAGGGTAAACTTTTTTTTCTCTAAAAAAAGTTTTAAAAATAGGAAACTGTGATGCTTTAATGATAAAAAAGGTGCTCATAATGATGATTCTGTGTCTTGTTAAACATCCAATAAGGATTGACTTTACTGGTTTTATGTTGCCACCTTCTTGATACTGATTGACGATATTAAGCTAAACGGTCTCCGCCTGCCTCACTCTTTCGTGACTCTTTCCCCTCAAGTCAACAAGCGTGAACAAAATAACCTTTCAAATTGATGGTGAAAAAAGCCTATTGCAACCTTAAAATGATAAACTACATGATTATGATGTACAAGCTTCAAGTAACGCAAGTTACAAACAAACAAACAGCGTAAAAGCAACAGTTGCTCAGTTGTTTATAGTCTTTGCCTTTCACCAGTTTCTCTGCTTTATTTGCTTTTTATTTTCACCATTCAAGGGAATCATCAGTTTACCTCTTCTATCGCCAGAATCTTCATCTTCTCTCTTCTATATTTACCATTTTTGCATGCGCATTTTATCCGTAAAAAGTATAGATTTTTTGTTACATTTTTTTTGCTTTTCTTGTTTCACCAATCAACACTTGTGAATGGAGCAACTGCAATTTGCTTACCTTTTTGTCTTGTTGCTTTCAATCAGCCTTTTCTCAATCTGCCATTTGTTTCATTTTCATTGAACATTGTAAAAATTATAATTATGATCAATCAACAATGTCAAATGACTATTTAGTCTTGTTTTGTTTCCAATTTTGCTTCCTTTACTTATTATTTTTACATCACTAATCTCATTGTTCAGTTGAAATGGGAAAATAATTTGGCTCAAAAATAGCTATTTTTGAATTCACTCATTTTGCATTCGTCAAATTTTGTGACAAATTCATGTTATTGGTTTCCAGCGTTGCAATTAAATCACTTGTAATCATTTACCAATCATTTGCAAATCATCAGGTTAAATCAGGTTTAGTTGAATGTCAGTTTGTCCATCATTTGACCGAAAGGAACATTAAATGAATATTTCAAGTCAATTTGATTATTAGGTTCCAGGTCAAATCGCAGACTTGAAATATTGGTTTCAAGATTTAGTGAGAAATCAAATCCCAATCAGTTGTACTTAATTACCCAATACACTAAATAGAGTGACAATTAGAGAATCGGCTTCAATCAATTTCAACTCTAATTTTAAAATGAACCAGAAAAACTTAAACTGTTTCTCATAAGTCGCCTTTTCATTTTGGTCATTATTCAGTCCACAAAAGCTGATTTGGTTGAGATCTTTCGTTGACTCGGAATGCAAAGTTGCTCGTTTCTGTGTTGCTTTACTCAAAGATATTTCTGGTTATTTTAGGCAAAACCAAGTACTTTTCAACCATGAAAATCTGTTTACTTTGCCTGGAAATTGCAAACTGATTGCAACTTATTTTTGGGTAATATTCTGATCGTTGCATGTTTGAGCTGAAAAAAATGTTAATTGTTATCATTAATACTAATTTGTCCGTTTTTGGCAAATTTCTCTGACTTTTAAAGTTCTCTTGAAACCACATAATTTTGTGTGTTTCATTGTGGTCATCCACATCCATTAACACTATGATTGATTACTTTTATCTGTAATTAGCCAGTTAACTTGATGTTGATTTTTGTTTCTCAACACACCAGCAAAAGAACTGTTAACATGATTCTGAATGCAGCAACCGTAACTATGAATAGTACAGCAAAAATTAGTGAAATTTTTTATTGCCATTTAAACATTTCTGCCTTTTTGAAAGATTATTTTTCATTCCAATATTTCCTTGTTTCATTTAATCAAATGGCAGCAAAAAGAACTTTGAAAATGATCGATTCCAGTTTTTTCCCTTTTCTATCTCATTTACCATGATAAGTATCAAACTTTTTCATCATTTAAATGGTTAAATTATTCAACATTTTTCAAGCTCTTTTCCACCTCCAATCTGAACAAAATTCAGTTTCATCAACACTAGTTAACCTCATCTAATAACGAAATACGTGTTTCACATAATTCATTTAAATGGGAATTCCCTGTAAAAGCGTTTTCTCAATCCATTGGAATTCAAATTTTGTTTTCTTTTCTGACAAAACTTACCTTTTGTTTCTTGCTTACAATTATCATCATCATCATCATCATCCCAATCCCTCATTATCATCTTTTATTGCAATTTAAGTGTTGAATAATATTCATTTTGAAACAAAAAAAAGAGAGAAAAGCAAAATTTGCAATTTCATTGATTTTTGATGAAGTTTGAGGTCAACATAACTAGAAATGATAAAAGTTGGTTGATAGTAATTATAATGATGAGCATCATTAAGTAATAATGTTTATAATGATAATAATAATGATTGTGAATGTTGCTCACAAGATGATTGGAAGCGAAAATTGAAAGAAGAGAAAAAATGGCGAAAAAATTAATTTAAATTTATGATATTCTTGGAACATATTATTTTGATAAGAAAAATATTCATATTAAGCTGTGCCCTATCATGTTATTAATGTTTACTGCAACTCCTAGATTAATGTTAATAACAATTAAACAATAAAAACAAATACACATTGTTTTGATTAGTGTAAAGAAGACATTGAAAAGTTTCAAGTTTTTTTCAACTGAACGTTAATATACGTGGGAATCGGAAACATGAGAATGTTATTTTTCAGTGAAAATTTTCAGCCTTTTACTGTTGATTTGTGCAAAGACAATACAAATTAGTTGCAGAAATTGCCTTTTCGCTTAAATAATTAATACTATTTCAAGATATTGCCATTGATTAGCTGTGTGGGAATCTCAATTGTTCAGATAAAAGGCAAGATTCCAATGAATCCAAGTTTTCAGTTATTATCTGATTGTTTTTGTTGTTTCTTCAACTTGTTGGTGGTTCCTTTCCTGAGTTCATTTCTCTGATCAATTTAAATGTTTAAAAATGTTTAGATGCAATTAATGTTTCCTATTTAGCTAATTGATTATCTGTTGAGATGATCTTCCGATAATCTTGTGATTTGTATGAAACTTTTGGATACTTTAATTTCATTAATCCAATTATCTTTTCACTCATGTTGTTACCTTGTTATCCTGATAATCATCTTGATTCTTTAATCACCTTTTGGTGTCTTTTTGATTGAGTTTATCTTTCCACTTTGATCCCCTGATTATCACAATTATTTTGGGCTTGTTGATAATCAGACAAGTTGATCACAATGTGAATGTTAACCAATTTTTTCATATCGATTTTGGCCTTTTTTCAGTTTAACTTGTTTCCGATCAACTTTGATAACATTTTTCGTACTACACCTTAATTGTGATTATCATCATTATTGCTGTTTCACCGCATTTTACGGCATTTTCCAATTCTTAATTTAATTTGAAGGTTAATTTGGTGAACAGCAAAATGAAGTTAAAGCATAACTAAACTGAAAGGAAAAGAAGTTCTTTAAAATGATTTATATTTGATTAGCAATTTTTTGCCCACTTTTTCTGATTACATTTATTGTTGGTTTTTACACTTTTTTTTGCTCCATTCAACTATTTACCTTTTGTTGTGATGGTGATTATGCTCAATATTATTAAACAATCATAATTGTTGTAATTGATTTCAATTATTTTAATTTGAAATAAAGGCTTGAACAGTAAACAGCAAACTTTCTCTCCCTTTTTTGTTCACAATAATGATACAATAATTACTCGGTCTGTAAATTGTTTTAGTAATAATATTTGCCAAAGTGATTTATTTCATTAAAAAACTAATTGTGTGATTTAATATTTCTTCATGTGAGTTGCTTTTCAAACTATCAAAATTTCAAGTGTCTAGTCATTTAGGCTGATTTTCATCGACAGAATCAAGATTCAATCAAGATAATCAAGCTTCAGATGATTATCAAAGAGACCATTTTCAAGGTGTTTCGATATTGAAATCATATTCATAATTATCTTCTCTAAAAAGTTGACCTTCCTCAATAATCAGTAATTATTTAAGGTCCTCAAAAGGAGTTGATCACCATAATTTCAATGTTGATCAGAATTGTTTCAACAATTGAAGATTAAACATTTTGATTCGACGATAAAACGACTTAAACTGTAGACTTGTAAAGTTGAGTTCAATTGCAATAGGAATCATTGATTCCCATTTCAATACAAACCATAAACCATGCTTGACCATATCGTCTTCAAAATCGTCTTTCACATGAAAAATTCTGAATCTATTTTGTCAACTGAATGATATTACAATAACATTAAAGACTTGAATTTGCTTCAATCTTAGAATAGTCGTTATTGAACTTGATTGTAATCAAATATTGGTCAAACAATCTTAACATTAACATTGAAACTGATTGAGTTGAACGTATTTCACGTTTTTAAGATTTATCAGGTTATTGCTATCATCTAACGATATGAAAACATCTTTGAAGCATCTTCAAAGGTAGATTAAATTATCAGGTTATTCACACATGGATTGCTGCATGGTTTTCCAGGTATATTGCTTTATTCATGTCAATTATTGATAAAAAAAGGTTTTCATCATTTAGCCTCATTATTTGTTGAAAATGTTAATTTTGATTATCAACAAATATCTTCCTTTAGCTGTTTATTTTCATTTCATTTTTCCCTGGCTTTTTTTGGTTAAAAAGTAAAATGTATTTGATTGTTAATTTTGTGTTTATTGCGCGTGAAAATAACCATTAACCAATGCACTTAAATCTTTGGTTAAAAAACAGAGTTTACTCAATCAAATCATTATATAATTCATTTTTTAGCCTCAACTTGTATCGTTTTTACCATCCACATACAAAGAATCCATTCAGAGTATTTCATGGCTTCTTGTAGAGATAAACTTTTGAGTGAAAAAGAAACACTTTTTCACTTGAGATGAGCAATAATTCAATGAAAATGGTTACTTATAAATCATAATATTGTTTATCAAATGTTGAACATTTTTCCCAATTTCAGATTAACATCAAATGATTTCGCACTTAGAGCAATAATATACAATATTACTGCTCTTTATTCAGTACTTTTGGTGTCAATCAAGATTATCAATTTATTTATTTATTTTGAAGTTATCATCATCACCGTTAACAAGATGTCAAATCAAATCTTCTTAACTATCTTTGGACAGTTAAATATTAAATACAGAAGTTACTGCAAAAAATGAAACTTAAATAACATGCGAATGCACACAAAATGACAAAATAAACATACAACTTTAACACCATTTAACCTAGATTTAGTTTGATTTAAAAAGATAAAATAGAAATGAAAAAATTCACAAATAACAGGATGCTTTTTCTTCCCTTTAATTCGTCATCTTGATGACAATAAATGAAGTTTTTTCACTTCTCAGAGTTTCTTTTTTTCACCAGTTTATCAAGATTAATCAATGTTGAACCAAAATCAATTGTCATCTTTTCTCAATCTTTTTGCTCTTCTCTTTTCTTCCCTCATTCAGGCTGTAATACGGTTCTTCAATCAACAAGTCAACTTTATTCTCATAAGAAGAAACATGAACGTAAAGAGTCTGAATTAGGAATCAAGAAACTTCAATTGGCAACGGATATGCTACGTCAAATTAAGGAAAAAGAGTCTAGTTCAATGGAAGAGGTAACTTTCCTTATCATGGAAAAAAGATGTTAAGAAGAAACGATTCAATCGGAAATTTGATCAAAATTTTCTGTCTTTCAGGGTACCTCAGAGGATGACCTTAATGGATGCAATAATAACACAATGAACAGTCTTTCAGCTGAGATTGAAAATTTAACTAACGATATACAAAATAATAGCTCAAGTATTACCTTAGAAAATATTATTGGACTGATTTTGGACCAAGTTTACCTTGAAACATATACCAAGTAAGTTTCACTTTACCTGGAAATTTTTTATTCAAACATTTTGATGAAAGTGAAGGAAAACGACTTTCATCAAAACATCATTTTTGCTGTTTCTCATTAACATCAAAAGAACCCAATTTTCTGGTAAATCAATTGCCAATCTTTACATTTCTAACCCTTTATTTTACTCTTTATTCACTTTTGGTTTACTCATCATTTCATGATTAACCAGATTTAATTCAGATATGAGATGTTTCCAGTCGGATTGTTCATACAAATACAAAGAACATTATCATTGTAATAAATGTGAAATTAGTGTTTCCCGGGACAATTTACAAAAACATGCCAAGTAAGTTAATTTTATTTAAAACTAGTTAATTAAATCAACTTTGAACTAATTTTCAAAGTCAACTAGAATCAATAGTCAATAGTGAATCGATTATTGTCTATAAAACTACCCTGTAATTCATCTAATTGTAATTGTTGATCCAATTTTCAGAGAACATTTAATGGAAGAAGAAGCAACGAAATTACTTCTTGAAGAATCAGAAGAAGGAAAAAACTGCCGAGAAGATTGTCCTTTATTCCGCAAGGAAACTCATTATCACTGTCGAATGGTGAGTTTGTGGTCTTTTCAATCATTAAATCATCATCACATCATCAACAATTAAACCTTCATTTGCACCTGAATCGGTTCAAAAAGGCTAAATATGTTTGGTAAAAGCTGTTGATCAAAAATCAGGTTTGAAAAGTATTTTTGATCAACGGCTTTTTTATATTGAAAAGCATTACTTATTATAATAACACTTTTATTGGTTTTATATCAAAATTGAATTTTATTTGAAAAAAAACATCTCAATTTTACCTTTGATAATTTGTTGTTTGATAAAGTTAATTGAAAATGAAAGAGGAGAAAACGTTATCATTAAATTTCTCATGTTGTGTGATGGTGAAAAGCATATCTTTTCATGATTAAAGAAATAGATTTTCAGATAATGTTACTTGATGGTTACTATCTGTTTCCCTATTTTATTAGTTATAATGAAAAATGGAGTTTAAATGAAATAATTTTTCAACAAGATGCAACAAAACAAATGATATAGTCTATTATCTATCCTCAGGGTAAAAGAGTATCTGAGGTTGAATTTTTGTTTTTCATGTAACTTGTTGCTTTTACCAGTGTTTTATTTTGCTGTAATTGTTACTTTTTTTGTTTGATGTTTATTATCGTTACTGTTGTTACTCTTCTCCTTGTTGATGATGATGATAATGATGATGGTAATGTTGTCTAACCATTTCTTCCATTATTTTTCCATTATTATCATTCCTATTTTTTTTCTTGCTTACTAATGCTTCTTAACTTGTTTGGTGCTCTTTTTTTCTTGGTAACAGTATGGATGTAATTTTGTGATAGACATGAATGATACCAGCTTTAAACGTCTAGATCATTATAAACTGCACGAAGAACAGCAAATTTTAATGGCCTCAAATGACCCAAACCCAGAGAGTGAACCTTCTTCCGCAGCTTCATCAGCACCATCTAATGCCTCTGATCGACCCGCTTCTGGTCTATCTCAACCCATTACCCAAACATATCCAACTGGAACTACACTCACATCAATCGATGGATTTCCAATATTTAAACGTAAACGCGGTCGTCCACCCAAGAATAAACCCGAGGTAACACACGAATTTTTAATCATTCAAAGCTTAGTGCAAAAGTAATTGCAATCGAATGTGAAATTAAAAGATTACTCGATGGGCTTAATTTTGTTTCTCAGCTCATTTTTTGATCAGTAATTAGACTCAATTTCAACATTGTATTTCAATGTTGAGATATTCATTGTTTATTTGGAAACTTGCACTTCATTTATGGCTCTATTTTTCAACGTCAATGAGACGCTTTTTCTGAATATGATGATTAACTGATTGATGAAATCTTCATTTAGAAATTTCTATCCAAATTAAGCTTACAATTTGTGTTCTCAAAACACTCATAGAGTCAAATCAGAATTAATTTTCCAATACTTTTGCATTAAGCTTTATGTTGTTGGTTTTTCATTGTTTTTAAGGGCAACATTTCATTTGCTTATCTAAAGACGAATTTTTTTAAATCTAATTTTTTTACTTTTCTTCGTCTTCAGTCTATCAGTGATGGTTATTACCCATCCGGACCTCGATCCAATCTCACCGAAAACAGTAACCCACCAGGACCTCATGCAAACCTTCCTCTGCCCCTTGGATCTCTGTTGAATCTTGCAGCAACCGTTGCCGTTGCCTGCCTTGGACGTGATCTGTTTCCCGGAGCACCCAACTTTGGTCGACCCAACTTTGGCCTTGGCGGGGTTGGCGGCCGTCCTGGAGGATTGGGTGCTCTTGGAAGTACGGGAAATGGTTTGGGTGAAGGTTTAATACCAATACCTTTGTTGCCCCAAACCAAACCTGAACTAGAAGATGGTTTCTATGTATTCAATGATGGTCTTCCCTGTCCCTTTGAATCTTGCTGTTTCATGTTAAGGAAACACTTTCACTGCTCCAAACCTCGCTGCTATTTTGTAACCGATAAAGATGATGTAAAAAGTCGCCGTGAACATTCAAAAGATTTTCATGATTTCATCGATATTAAGGAAGGTTTCGCCTTCTATGATAACCTTGTCAACTGTTGTTTACCCGGTTGTCGGTATAGTAAAATTTCAACCCATTTCCATTGTATTAGACCAGGATGTTTCTATGCTTTTCAACGGTATCATGAAATGTCGGACCATGAGAAGCAACATGCTAATGGTAACAAAAATAACCACCTCAATGGATTTAGTCATTTACGTGATGCAGATAATTGTTCACCTCCGGTAAGTCTTTTTTTTCAACTTTTCACATTTTCTTCACATTTTAAAATATCCATTTTTCACCTCAAAAAAAGAGCAAAAAGACTTTTTTTTATTCACTTTTCCCATGCTCTTGTTCCGGCAAGCCAACAATTTACATTTAAAATTAAACAGTTAGTCTAACCGTTTTTTGATGTAAAATTTAAAGATTAAATTGAGACTTTTTACCGGTGAAAAGAATCATTTATCTTCATTAAATTTACTCTTGAATTTCTCCCTTCAACATGATAATTCTGACACTTGTCTGATTGAATTTTTCCTTCTTCTTCTTTTGTTCCTCTAGGATCGAGGACTTGATGAGAACTCTAGGTGATGAGAATGTTGATAATGATGAACTAAAAATTCTGCAAACAATTAATGACTGTCTGAGAAAAATTCATCTTGTTCAAGATGAAAAGAAGCCTGAATTAAGAAACTTGGTCCGAACAATTGAAAGTCCCAAAAAAAGCGTTGGATCAAGAAACAGTTACACTAAATGATGTTGATTATCATTAATATATTTAATTTATAATAACAAAAAAAGTTATAACTTTAGCTTTCCTGTAATCTATTTGTAATCATAAACCCTCTGATCTTCCTGTTCATTCATCATTCTATCTTTCTAACTGTTCACCCTTTTTTTCATGATAATCATTATCAAGCTCATCATCATCCTCATCCTCATATCTTTTCCCTCTCTTCTTTATAATAATCATCCTTGATTAACAGCAAAACAAAAGGATAATCAGCCGAAGTGTATGGATAAAGAAAAGCGCATTTAAATTATTGAGAAAAAATTGAAAAACAAAACAAGTGCAAAGGTTAATCTGTTTGATGCCTTAATTGTTCACAATTTGGATCATTGATGCAAATTGAAAACCCAAGTGTCGACATTACTTGCATCTTGTTGTCTTGGTGTTCAATCCGTTTTAAAAGCCTTCAACTCGACATCCAAATCCAAAGATGCCTTCACTTTTCATCTTAACCCGTTCCAGCCAGTGATTACTCTTAAACTTCGTCCATAAATCAGAATCGAAAGATGAAATAAACGAAATGGAAATAATGCCTTTAATCGTTGACCAGGAGAACCCAACCTCGTGGATAAACGCAGAGGATCAAAGCACCCACCAAAAACCATCCAACTTGCCTTGTTAATTAGTTGTCCTTTCAAACAGATTTTGCCTTAATCACTGTAAAGTCAAAAATTATTAAGTCTATAAACACAAAGAAGCGAGAAAAATACAAATTTTGTTTCATTAACCATCACCTTCATCATCATTATTTGATCAGAAGAAAAAAATTTCACTCAAATCGCGCTTTTAACCTAATCGTGCATGTCTTTTGATGATTTAAAATTGATTAACCTAATTAGTTGATTGTTTTCTTTTACTTTTCATTTTCTTTCTCTTCTTCTTCTTCACCTCAACCTTAAACCTGCTGATCAACCAAATGAACAATCAAATTGAAGATACAGTTTCCTTAATTGGAATTAAAATAAACAGTCAAATTACATTCAATAATCCAAACCATCCACACACCTTGGTGGTTACAGTGCAAACCATTGGAACACAATTAAGGATACTGAATAGATAAGGTTCACGGTTATTATCATTATTATCATTATCATTTAACGTAATAAACAAAATAAAGTAGCAACAGGCAGAGAGCACCTTGAGCCTCATCAAACTGATCACCAATTGTAACCCAAGAAAGCAAAGTGAAGCTGAAAAAAACTGGGAAACAAAAAGAAAACAAAAATTACATTTTTTTGTTTCCATTCAGTTAAGTGAATTTACCTGTCAATGTCTGCACTGTGCAAGGCTAGGTTTTGGTTAAATTTTGGGCGGACATTTTGTTGACTGTTGATGCAGAAAAAAGCATCTTTGAGTCAATTTTTCATCAACTTTCATCTTCTTCTTCTCACAAATTGTATCAATTCATATTGAAATTGCTGGTTACTTGGGAGGTTAAATTGGGAAAAGGTAAAAAAAAGCTCAAGATGCAAGAGAAGAAAAAAATATGAGAAAAAATTTCAATGAAGTAATTTCAGGTAAATAGCAGAGAGAAGTTGCAAAATGAATGAAAAAAAAGATGAAGCATAAAGTGGACATTAAAAGGTAAAAATTTCATGTCGATTTATAACGGAATTAGCAGATGGAAAGTGACCGCAAGTCAAGCCCATGTTTTTGAACCATAAAATGAACTTCATCTTCCTCCTTCTCATCTAGACCTTAAACATATGGTTTGCCTAATTTTGTAGGTAAGTTAACCTTTCATTGGCCCAATGACAGTTTTCAAAATAATATTCAACAATCCCAATGAAATCAATAATTTCTAGTCTTATATCATTTCTCGTTTTTTTAGGTTAAAGCTTCTTTCCTTGCAGCTTTAGATTTGGGTTTCAAATGCTCTTCCAATTGTCTTTGGTTTAAATATAACTGAGTTATCACAATTAATGTTGGAATGTTAATTATGATAAATTTTGTTTACAATCCAAGAAATGTCTTTGTATTACTAATTGTAACTCAATTGATTCCTGGACCTTTTAAACATGTTTACATTTTTACTTTGGATTAACCTTTTTTCAATTTTGTGTAGCTCAAGCTTTTTTCAATTTTTGCCGAGTTATTAATTCGCATTCTTATATTATCAAGATTATTACAATTGCTATTATTAATTTTTGCATTCACATCAAAATATAAATGTTCAACTGATAAGATGAAGTAAAGCTTTAAAGTAGATAAGAAGATGAAGAAGAGTGAATTAAAATAATGAGATGTTTACATCAGCCAATTATTTAAATCATTTCAAATTATTCATAATCAGATGAGTTTCTTGGTGAATCCTGAAAAGCGTAAATTGTTACTTTTGCAAACCTTTAAATGAACAGATTTGCGAGCAAAAATTGTTGCCCAAAAATTGAAAGCCAAAGATGAAGATTATGAAGTCAGGTCATTTCTCAGGCAGACTTGGAAATGGATTTGAAAAGTTATCTCTATTGATACTTATTACCTTTTTTTAGTTCAACTCAATTTACTGTTGATTGTGAATCATTATTTTGTGTAAATTTGCTTCCGATCGATCATATTATCTTTTTATATTAAAGAAAGATTGATGATGAAAAATGAAGATGAGGATGAAAAGATGGAAGAAGATGAGAAATGGTGGTTTTTTTGCCGTTGAAGAGAAGCAAAAAAGAAAAGCTTTTCAGATGTTGACTTAAGAAATAAGATGCTCAATGACGGGCACATTGTCATTCAAAGTGTATTAAAAGTAGCATCAGTAAGATGATAATGATGAAGGGAATGTAAGGTCAACCGCACTGATTGATGTGGGTTTGACGATCTTCATCTTCAGACATTTTTCTTTCCATTTTTTTCCACTTTTTTTTCATTCTCATTGATATTTTTCTACTCAAATTACATTCTTTTATGTAGACTCGGATTCAGATTGAATTGCCGAGTCCATTGCTGATGAAAATGGCCACAAAATTATATATTAAAGGATATATTTTTACATTTGGCGATCAGAAGAAAAAGATTGTTCAATTGTTGTTCCATGAGAAGTGAAAGTTAACTTGAACATTAATCTTTTACTGATCTTGCTTCATCTTCAACATTTCAGACTTTATTGTGCTCAGATCATGATTACCATGAGATTGAGCCAGGAAGAAGTTTGAATCTCCATTTCAATTGTTGGTCAATTTGTTTACCTTTCAACGAAAACTTGACTTGATTTCATTATTTGTCATTATCATTGATTCCAATCATTGTTATCCCATTCAGATTATTGTCTGATTTACACATCAATTGGGTGCATCAAATTAACCTGATCAAAGGAAGCAAATAGAATGAGAAAAATTACTGACAATCAAACAATTGACAATCAATTGACTCTGAATGATTCTTTGCGTTTCAAATCAATTAACTGTTCGCAATTTAAATTTACTTTTATTGGCCAAAATATCAATTATATTTACTTTTCAACAATCAAATCTTTTCCCCTGACGAATGACGATAAAAACAATTGTCTTTTTTTCACCATTTTTTACATTTACCTTAAGGTTGAAGCTTTTCAAGTTCAATTGTAATCAACTGATTACTTATTAGGGTGTCAAAGGGAGAGATTGTATTTAAATGAAAACACTTGACAATCACTTTAATCATCATTTTAATGATAATTTTGATGAGCATTTTTTCACTTCTCGTTTAGCATTTGTTTGATGATCAAAAGGCTGAACGTCAACGATGCATTCCCAATGAGTTAATCATATTTCTGGTTGATTTAAGCTTCAAATATTCCCACAAATGAAACTGTTTTTGTCATCGGACAACTTAATTACTATCGGTACAATGATTTTCAATCTTAATTAGTTTGCCATTCAACTTTGTAACTTATTGCCAGGAAAAAAAGGTAAATTAAAATGAAAGTTAATCATTTACTGTCCTAATCTGTTTACACTTGAATTTGTTTCAATAGAAGTCAGATTTTTCTCTCTGAATCATATTTGGATGAGGAAAGAGGAAAGATGATCGGCATCGAATCAGATGATTAACTTGATGATAAGTAACGAGTAATTTGATGTTGAAATGTAGTTGAAAAAGCAACATAATCTGGTTATATTAAGTTAATCACACTGAAGTTTCCCTGAACATCACTCTAAATTAGCAACGCTCTTCACCATTCATCTCAATTGTTTAACCAAATATTATTCAATAGGGAAATCTGTTCATTTTTGCAACTCTTTTCATCTTTTATCGCACCTTTAACCAGATGATTACAATTAATGAATTAGCTTTTTTGCCATTGCTTTCTGTTCCCACGGAATTAAAGTTCAATCAAAAATTCAATTCAATGTTTTCTTTAGATTTTTCATATTGTAAGAATTTCTTGTTTCCTTTTCTCTCTCCTTGTTTTGTTTATCATTGTGATTGGCTATTTAATTAGTTGCAATTAACGAGCGAATTAAAAATTTGGGAAAACTTGTAAATCATTAGAATCATCATGAGTGAATTTAATTCAGAATAAATCTTTATCTTTACCTTTCTCTGATCATAAGGTTGTAAGGTTATGAGAATGTTTCCAGTTTATTGTTAATATGCTGATTGAAGATTAAAGGTAAAATAATAAACAATATTGATTAGATCATCATTGTTAATCAATTGAAGCTATTTATAACAATCAAATGATTGGGAAAGATTAATTTAGTAATTGAAAAAGGGAAAAGTAAGAAGAAAAATGTTGAACTGATTGTATTTAAATGTGGCGCTTGAATAAGGGTAATGGCTTAACTCGTTGGCTTTGGCTTGGCTTGAACTCAAAGGCTTTTGTTCACTGTTAGGTTTCTTTAACTGTTTTTATTGGCTTGTTTGATCGTATTACTGGAAATATGATTAACTTGATGAGCAATCTTACTGTTTAATCATCATTTTAATCATATCTTGTTGTTGGTAAATGGCTTTTTTTGCTGAAGTGAAATAGGAAACATTTTTAGCTGCAAAAATAAGCAAAAAAACGCTTTACTGTGTGTCTATGCTTTATTTTATATCATCTCTACTTTTTCTTAACCATGTTGTATCGTGATTATCTTCATCACTCTTGTTTTTTTTTCACCATGTTTAATCATCTTTACTCCTTAAAACCATATCAATTTACATCATCATCATTATCTCATCTTGTTTACTGATCCCTTGTTACCCCTTAATTGTCTATCAACGTTAAATAATAATGTGAACACACACAACACCAACAAGTGGATATAACATTATAGCCACATTCATAGACTTGTTGGCTTCCCCTTTTTTTGCTACAAAATCAACATTTTTCAATCAAATTGTTGATTTACATCACGATCAACAGTCTCAGTATCATTGCTACTCTCATCACCAACAACGAAATTATCATTAATATCATTTTATCTGGATAATCATCAGCTGAAAATGGCATAAAAGTCATTTCTTTTTCAACCTCCAATTTCACATTTTGGAGGGAAACCATTCTGGCAGCCATTTCTGGTTTCTTTTTTATTAATGCCATCTTTTTCCTCACCCAATTGTTTTTTTTTTTGTGTGTTAACATTTAGTTTGTGCTTTCATATTAATTGTCAATTCATTATAAAATACCTTTAATGGTAGTAAATTTGAATTAATTAAGCTAATTTATCAATATAATAATGTTATTATTATTTCCTCTTGAAGCTGATTAATGCTGCTTGTGATTTATTTTTATCATCAACCATTTTTGTTGCTTCTTTTGTTTTATACATTTCATGTTGCGTTACCTTACATTAAATTCAATTTGTACAATGCTTTTCATTTTTAAAACTTGATGTTTAATTAATTGATTTTGTACAATTGTGCACAACTGGGCTGTTAATTTATTGAGCTATCATTATATTAACAGACAAAAGATGTTTAAAATTAAAGTGTTTCTCCTTGCTCTTCAAATGGTTTCATAAAAATGTGTGTGTGTGTAAGTTCATAAGTATCTTAATAATAATGTTAACAATATATTTTTGATAAATTGTATTATTATGGAACACAATTTAAAAAGTAAATTATAAAATAAATTACAATTTAAGTTAGTTTGTAAAAAAAAGAAGAAAAAGTTAGCAAAAAAGGCAACAAAAAAAGGACTTGAAGGTGAATCAGGAAAGGTATAATGTTGACATTAAGATGAAGCTAAAGTTGGATGTTGAACTCACCCTCACATAATCATAATCATCATAATAGAGTTGATCATAATCATGATGAACAATTTGATCAAGTTAATTGTGCTCTTTGAATGTTGAAAAATTAGTTTTGATCCAGCCGTTCATTTACATGTTATTTTGAAACATTTTTAGTGAAGGTAAAAGCAACTGGAAAGAACCATTTTTACCCGAAAAAAAATGAAATGAACCCAAAAAATTATTATATTCATGAGGAAATGATGTTTACTCATCTCACCATCATCTTATCTTGATGATGTCCTAAGATGCTGATAATTATTATGGTGATGATGATGATAATAATGGTGATAATGTTGATACCTTTCTCATGTTATTCGGTCATTTTAGCCATTTACTGGTTCAATTATCTTGCTAAATAATATAATCATAAGTTAATGTTTAGCAGAAGAAAAAAAGTTCACTTTTTTCCATCTTTCCTCATCATCAGCAGTTGATGATTTTCATGAATCCAAATATTCATGTTCAACTCACGTCTTGACCAAAAAGATGACTCCACATGAAAATTAAGTAAAAGGTGAAAATTTCAATGTTTGCACAAAACAATTCAAATCAAGTAAACTGTTGATTTTCTGGACAATCTCGTTGCTCTGAAATTGCAACAAAATGTCAATCTCAGAGTGATTTTCAATTTAACTGTAATTTTATTTTCTAGCTTCTGAATGAACTACAAATCTAATGCATCTTTGCAGGAATTTCATTTTTGCAATTTGATTTCTGGACTGAGAATTGAAATGCTCTGAAAAATTTTGATTCTCAACCCTGCAGCAGCATCAAATACTGGATCAGGATCATCAACAGATAATTTCAGAAACCTAGATGTTATCATAAGCTTTGACTGAGCTCAGAAACGCGAAAATGTCGAAGAACTTTTTTCTTTTTCAAGATTTCTTGATCTTAAAAATGAACAATTGCTTGATAAATATCAAATTTTGATCTTTTTTGAAAGCTAATTTGATTTACAGTTTGTCTTGAAGTCAACTCGACATAAGATTCAAAATTAAATTTTAAGCTTGCATTTGTTTTAATGCAAAGTCTTCTTTTACTGTCGTTCAAATTATGAATTGGAAATGATTCGAAAATTAGATTTCTTTTTCAGTAAATTAGATAATCGAATGTCTCACTTGAAAATTTCTATTCTTATCTTCCTTCAGGGTGGGTCAACATGATGGGTCAGTCATGATTGGGTTGTCCATCATTTCATTTGTTCCTGTTTACTTTGAATGGTCAAGTTCAAGTTCCCATAAAATTAGATTCAACTCTTTTCTCTTCATCACACCACATCCAACATCATCTTTATTTTTACCTTTTCCATTTGTTTACCTTGTCTACCTGAATCGCAGTGAATATGTTTACTTGTTTTCCCATCGGAATGACAAAAAAAAACGGTTTCTTTAGCTATTGTAGTTGATTATTATTTTGATTATTATTATGATGATGATGATGATGATCAACTAGCGCTATTGTGTGTGAGTTAGTTCATTTGTCGCCTTTTTTTCCTTCAAAAATGTAATCAAATGCATACAATTATTAGTAATTACTTGTTTCACTTGTAATCAAGACTCGCTTTTTGTTGAGTCTCAACTTGAATTTCATCTTCTTTTTTTTCTTCACCTTCTTAGGTTTCATCTAAATATCATTGTTCATGTTTATAAATTGTTGACAAATTGTTGCCCATCATCATTAATATTATCATCATTTACATCATGTTTTCATCTTTATCTTAATTTACAATCAACTTAATATAAATTCAGTCATTTACACATATATTAAGTATCTTCTTCTTCCATTCATTTACTAGATCTTTATTAGGCTACTTTTGAGTTTCAGTTTAATTTGCTGTCATTTAATTGTGCATTTTTTAATGATGATGACTTTATTTGTTTGCCAACTTAATTGTTAACCATCATTAATGTGTCTACTGATAGACTACTTGAAACAATTGGTTTTAAATACATTTGTTTTGATGGACAAAAGCACAAGAAATTCAATTTTATTTTAACCAGTTTTTTAAGATTGACTATTGGATGGTTAGATAGGCTTTTGGTAATTATAAGGCAAGACCAGAAATTATGCTTTTTATGCTTTCTGATTGATCATTTTTATAAGGTTTTTTTATTTACTTTCAGTTGTTAAGTCATTATAATGTTTGTTAAGCATACAAAAGTTAATTATCTTACTTTAATTACAAGTCAATTGACTGAGGTTGTTGGTAATAGTTAAAATTATAATTAAGAAAATCTTTTTTGTATTTAGCGCTTCTAGAAAAAAGCATTTTCTTCTCTGTTTACTTTCTTGCTTTTTTTTCACCACTGGTCAATAGGTTCAATTGTTATTAGATAACTGTTGTTAATTGTTGCCGTTGATGTGTGTTCATTGTGTTGGATAAAATAACCATTGAATAAATGCCAATGGAAACTTTCAACGTTAATTGGGTGATCACATTACTTTGGTTAATTTGCTGCGATTGAGTGAAGTTTCCATTTTTTAATGGGTAATTAAGGGTAAGTTTTGTTCTGTTTTTCAGGCTAAGTTTATCAGTCAAATAAATCAAAATATTGAGCTTTTTTTGTGTTGATTGTTGCTTGTTTCTTTTTCCTATTTCCTTTTCAATGATAATATTGATGATGAGGGGAGGTGGAGGAGGAGGGTTGAGAGAAAAGGAGAGAGAAAGAGAGAAAGAGTGAGTATTGATGTTGAAGTAAAAAGTGCCTTGTAATGGGAAAGAAAAACAAGAAAACAAAATAAATTGTAAAAACTCACAAGATATGATGGAGAGTGAGAGAGAATTGGTTACAATTAACATTATGTCAATGAGAAGAGGCAATAAAAATGATTTTTGGTTGAGCTTGTTGAAAAATGTATCAAGTCACATCAAAAGGCTATTAAAAGCAATTTGAGGAAAACCATTAATGTTTTTCAATTTGATATTTCACTTTAGACCGCTGGTTGCTTGTTGATTGGGGGCAAGAATGGCCAGGAAAACAAGTTTATTTGCCATTTCTTTCCAGAACAATTTCATTGTCAGATATTTAATCTGCCTGGAAACGTATTGAGTGGTTCCATTCAAGGATATAATTGTAACTTCAACAAATTTAAACAACTTGATCCGGTGATATGTTACCAGCAAATTTTCATCTAATTGTCTGCATTTACCAGAGCAATGACCAATCCTGGGGTGATCCTGGAATCCTTGTTTTTAATTGTTAATAAATTATTGGTGAAACAGTAATCCTTTATTGGCTTTTTTAGGTAAAATTGTTTCATCTGATCATCACATGAGGATTTTCCAGTCTAGTTATTACCGGTGTGATACCAAAATTATTGATGATTAGCTATTTGCAGGTATTAGGTAGAAATTAATTTCAACAGCAATTGTAATATAAACATCATTTATCATATTTTTCAGTTTCAATCCATGTGAAGAGTAAAAATTTGCATTCACAAGTTTCTTTTTCTCATGCGTTTTCTTAGAGAATGCAGGTTTTTTTTTTCATATTGTGAATGTAATAATGGTAAGCCATTTCCTGGATTAATTTAGTATCAAAGTTGATTGAGAATCTGAGACTTTTAGAAAATATTTCTCTTGTTTCATTCAGATTATTGTTAGATAACAATTAATTGAAGTAAAGTGTAATCAATCTTGCATCATTGTGTAGAAAAAGAATTGCATTTTTGACAAGTAATTAATTTTACAAAACAAATATCCGCCCTTTGAGCATTAAATTGTTGGTATTCTGTGGAGATCCTTTCTTTAAACCAATGTAGATCACAATGAGAGGGATTTAATGCTTAAATAAGTGACTTTCAATTAGAATAAAGGAGAAAAACTGGTTTCCGTAAATTTTTCAGTCAATAGTAACGCTCAATTGACAATGAAGTAGTTAACGTAGATGTAGCACTAATTGTGTATTGTGTAAAGAGGAGTCACGATGGGTTGAAAAGGTTTCAAGAAGTCAAATTATCACTGATTTTATGTGATCAACATTTATGAAACAATAATTTATAAAGAATAATGAAGTTGAGTATACAATCATAATTTTCTTTTCTTGCAGCTGCGAATTATCCCTTAATCACAGCAATGGGCCTTAACTTAAAACATTTAGCACTGATTCCAACAGCATGACAGGTATCAACAACATCAGTTACATTTTTATAAGATTCTGGTGCTTCTTCCATCACCAGTTTAGGCGAAGCGACACGGATAGCAATTCCTTGTTTATTTAATTTATCAAGAACATCTTGATATGATATATCTCTTCTCGACTTAGATCGTGACAAAGCTCTTCCAGCTCCATGACATGTTGTTCCAAAGGTTTGGCTCATTCCTTTTTCAGTCCCTGTTAATACATATGAACATGTTCCCATAGTACCACCAATCAAAACAGGTTGACCAGTTAGCTGATAATCTACAGGAATTAGAGGATGGTGAGGTGGAAAAGCACGAGTAGCACCTTTACGATGTACTAACAGAGTTTTCTCTTTACCATTAACCATATGTCTTTCCGTTTTAGCAATATTATGGGAAACATCGTAAATCACTTGCATATCAAGATCATCAGGAGTTGAATTAAATGTTTTAGCAAAAGCTTGCCTAGTCAAAAAAGTCATGGAGCTACGATTAACCCAAGCAAAATTGGCAGCAGCAGACATAGATTTCAGGTAATCTTGACCTTCCTGACTTTGTACATAAGCACAAGCAAGTTGTCTATCATTGACTTCAATCTTGTCTCTTTTCATAGCTTTCTCCATGACCAAAAGAGCGTCAGTAGCAACCTGGTGACCAAATCCTCTTGATCCACTATGGATCATGACACAAACTTGGCCGGTTGTTTCAATTCCCATCTTGGAAGCATTACGGGAATCAAAGATTTCGTCGACTACTTGAATTTCAGCATAGTGATTACCGGCACCAAGTGTTCCTAGTTGAGGTAAACCTCGCTTCTTGGCTTTGGGAGAAACTTTAGCTGGATCAGCATTTAACATTCTTCCATATTCTTCACAGTGTTCTTTGTCTTCAGCCCAAGCATATCCTTCACGGAGACTCCAATCCATACCCATTTCCAAGGCTTCTTCCAAATCTCTTGCATTCATTGGAATAATACCTTTTGAACCAACACCTACAGGTATATGATCAAACATACTTTGAGCAATTTTTTCTTTCATGGGCTGAACATCTTTTTCCATCAAATTTGTACGGACCAACCGAACACCACAATTGATGTCAAACCCAACGCCACCAGGAGAAACAATAGCTTTAGGATCATCTAAATCAAAAGCTGCCATATTACCGATAGCAAATCCATAACCAGAGTGGACATCAGGGAGACCAATTGATCTGTGAACAATTCCTGGCAAAGCAGCAACATTACCAATTTGTTTCACAGCTGGAAGAAACCCACCAATATTACCAGGACGGCAACTGTTTTTCAGTTCATCAAGCATGAGTCTCTCGAGATTTTCATTGACGAAGAAGATTCCTTCCACGTTCATGTTAGGAACAAAATCTTTCTTTATCCTCCAAGTCATTGGTTTAATTTTTTCAAGGAAAGCACATTCCTCTTCATAGCTTCGAACACCCATTTTTCTCAAGTTGTCAGTGATAGATTAAACTAAAAAATGAAATATACAAGTGACACAAGTTGTAATAAAACCTTAACAAAAATAAAGGATTATTTTAAATTGAGTGACAATTGCACGAGGACTCTCCAATTTGATTAAATAGATCACTGCGATAGAGTCATGTAATGATGAAAATTGTTTACTTTTCATTCTGGTCGCAGGATTCAGAATATCGATATCTAGACAGAAAATACTCGATACCAAGAGCCAATCCTAGCACTGTCAAGCTTGACAAGTCGGATATTCACCACAAAGATATAACCGAACTTATTCAGAGATTTGGAATTGAAGATTAAACAAATTTGAAAATTAGATGAAGAGTATTTTGTTCAAAAAGAGAGTTTAAACAACAAAAATTAAAAAGAGATCAAGAAACTGATTGAATGATCACAATGGATTTTCCACTTTTCTTTTGATTGGCATTCAATTACTCCAAGTCTAATTGTTTTCTAATTGTCTTACTGAGCTCAAATTCAACTTTTTCCACATTTAATTTGCTTGAATTACGATTCTTTGAACGGAAAATGGAGTTTTATTTGATTCAAAGAGCTTTTCTGGATAATCAGTCTAAGACTTAAAAGATCATTCCACAGCACTTTCCTCCTCCAAGCTTCGAAAGCTTAGTACTAGATGTACATAATATCCGTTAATATTTCACTCATGTCACGAATTAAATCCAGTTGATTTAAATTTACTTGAATTAAATCAAAAAGTCGAAAAATTTAATAAGGAAAAGCTACAAGCACATAGTTCCATCTGTTGATGGAATTGAAAACTTCATATTTTGCTACAGTTTTCAAACATTTCAATAAGTCAGGCGATATCCAAGTTTCCGATATTTTATGAGTATTGATGTCGTTCAGATCTTTTTAGCATGAATTTAATTTATCAATAATCAATATTAGTTAATGCAATGAAATTATTTCAGCATACAAGTCAATTTAAATATAAAATCAATATACAATTATACATAATATTTTTTAATTTCCTTAGTGATACCCTGTTTAGTCATCTTAACCGTTAACCGGTTGAATGGTTGCTTAAGGTTTTTTTCCTAAGGATTAGTATTCCTTTCTTAATTCATTACGTTTGTAAGATTGCCTTAACATGATTAATTTTGATTGCTCCATCTCCAATAGACCAACTTTGAGCAAATCTTCACACACCTCTATTGTTATACATGGGTTAATCAGAAAAAAGAAAGGATTAATAAACTCTGTTTATACCAAAGATTAACATATTTGTTGGTTCTTTGATTCGCATCTTACCTGGACCAGACAGACAATGATATAAGCTTGTAACATCTTTAATACATTGTTTGCTGATTTCCCAGGCTAAACATGTTTTATGGTTCCAATTGATTGTCCATTTGTATCCCTTCATTGCTGTTCGATGTAATTCTGTCTTATGGAACCAGTTACAGGTTGTTAAACTGTGCCTCAATGAGTTTTTCCAATGTAACTCTGCTGTCTCAAAGTAAGGAAAACACTTGCTGTTCGGTGAAAAAGGTGAGATTAATAGTTGTTCAAGCTTCAATATAGTAATATTTTATTTACTTACCACAGGAAACTGTATATGCCTGAAACCTCAATCATCATTTCTTCGTCGGATCCACATAAAATGGCAAAAGCACACAAAATATTATGTGAAAATTTGGGTTTCAAGTAACTTCCACTTCGACTGTCCAATGGTATGTATAAGTATTCAACGACTAGAATTCTATCTTTAGCAACTCGGTCGGCTTTTCGATTCAATAATTTTCGATAGTACTTTTCATGCTTCCGACAACAGCACACTGCTACTGTTGAATTGGATGTTGGTTGAAATGGAGAAACATCGGCAAGAGAGTCACAGGAACCATCAGAAGTCATGGATTGAAGTTTGTAAGTGTCATCTTGATAGTTAACCTCATGTTTGTTATCAACTTCCGACTCTGGAAAAATGTTCATTACTTGAGAACTGACGGAATACGGAACAAAATGCGTTTCTGGGTAAACATTCGGAGTTTGATTTTCTTTTTCTGCTTTACAATCGAAATCTTTACTTTCTAAATTTCCATTCACCAAGCTGGCTTCTAAGAATTCTGATTTGACATTTTCACCATTTTGAAATATTTCATCCAATCTTTTTTGGGTTTCTTCAGGATTCCAACATCGCACTTCACCATTAGAGTTGAGTTCTTCACCATGATTATCACCATCACCATCAACTTCAACATCAACATCAGCATCAAAATCTTTGATTATGTCACACGAATCCTCCAACAGGCAATCAATAATTAACTGGTCATTTGGATAGTCATCATCGGCAAAATTGTCAAATTCGTCTTGTAAATTTTCATCTGGCAACTTTTCATCAATCCTGGTTATTTTATCTTGTTTGACATCAGCAGTGAAAGGGATTGGTGACAGACCGACTGGATTCAATTGGGTCAATAGAGATTCATAAGGTCCTTCAATATCTGTCAAAGGGGAATAATTAATTTCATCTAAAGGTATGTCGAAGTCAATTAATTTAGGGATAAATTCTTGAGGATAATTAGTGATGATTGAACTGGTTAATATAGGATCATGATTAGGATCTATTAGATAATCATTAGATTTAGTATTATAATTTAAAAGAACTGAAAAGTAATCCATTTTCTTTAGTTTCTTGTAAACAGAATATTCTTTTTTTCATGCATAAATAAAATAAAGTTAAAATAATGTAATACTTATAAAAGTCAAGACTAAATAAATTAATTGACGCTTCTCCGTCCATTATTTATAAGTTTTTCACAGCTTTATTGATGAATTATGCTACAGTTAGATTAATTAGCTTTTTGTAGCTCATAATTTACAGTCTTGCCAAGCTTAACTTGCTTTTCCGTGGCGTACGCAACGTACATACCATTCGCATAACATGCCAGTTAGAGTTTTCATAAATGGTCAAGCAAATCAATTAAGCTTTCACCAAAAAATCTATCCAAATTATAAAAATTCTAATAAAATTTTCCAACATTTTCTCATTCTAGGTGCATACTCATTGGAAATAACTTCTGGATACATTTGCAGCAAAAACGGTCAGAATTACAATCGAAGGAAGAACCAACGAATGCTATGATAATGAACAAGAATGGTCAAAGACTCGTGATCTTCAAAGAAAAAATAAATTGGAAAAGGCACAAAAAGGACACGAATAGTTTGAATAAGCTTGAAATTGTTGGTAAATTGGATCAAGTCAAGGTGCGCACATTGGGAAAGACAGATTAGCCTTTTGGCTGGAATTAAAGTTATTAGAATTACTTCTATTTAGGTGATTAGATGTGCTTATGAGAATAACGGGAAAACAAGTTTACTGATCTGTATAACAACCACTTGAACATATGGATGAACCGACTTTTCAAGCTTAACGTTAAACAGGGACTTAATTCTTTCCTTATTCACCTTTTCGATTATCATTAGTATTAATCATAATAGGAATAATACAATTACTAGGAATATTCATTTATATTATGATTATTAGTATTACTATTAGTTTTTGTGGTTTCAGTAATCACAAGTAAATCGAAACTTGGTGGTCTTTTACCGTCTTTTCATCATTTAATATAACTTACTCTTTATGCTATTTTCCAGGCCGGCTTAAGAGGATTAAATTTGGTTTCGCTGTTTTGGTTACGCTTTGTCCATACAAACACAGCAACAACCACGATCAAAAAGGGAAAATTAAACCAAGACGTCTTTTTTTTATTATTTAATTGGAATACATTGTAATGGATAGGACCATGGATTGTTGTGTGCAACAACAAAGAGACAGGCGATGATGGTGACCATAAATCT